TGTCAGGGACTCCCCACGTCTCCAGCTGCAGAGATCACCATGGGATGGCTTGGAACTCACCCATGCTGAGCTCGGTCAGCTCTGCATCCTCCATGGCTCCCTGTTCCTCCTCACACAGCTCCTCCTCTTGCTTCACAGTGCCCACAAAGCTCGGCTAAAGATCTGTAGATGTGGTGCTTAGGGACGTGGTTTAGTGGTGGACTTGGCAGTGTTGGGTTTACGGTTGGACTCGATGATCTGAAAGGGCTTTTCCAACCAAAACAACTCCATGATTTTACTTCTGGAAGCTTTACTCTGCCCTGCAGAGAAGTGATATCCCCTCTACCCACCATTTCAGGACTGTGTCCTCCTGCCCGTGTGTCCAAGGACACCCCTGCAGAACAACACTCACCAGGTCCTGGTTCAGTCAGCACCATCCTTCCCTCCAGGTTCTCCTGTCCCCTTGGGCACTCTGCTTCTTCTTTACTGTCCTGGCTGTTCTCATCAAGTCTCAAGAGCAGACATTCTGCAAGTGGGAGAGATCAAACCTATCATGAACACTCTGTTAGTCCCCCTGAACCTGCTCCTCCTGAGATGTGAGAAGTTCCTTCTGTAGCACCTCAGGACCATCCTTTTTTTCTGACAACACCACACAAAACATGACACCCGAGAAGGAAGTTGTAATTAATCTCTTGCCTGTACTTGGTTCTGCTGGAATCCTTCTTGAGGTCACCTCGTCCCCATCGCAGGGCGCTTCTCCTCCCTGAAGCTGGGACAGGTCAGGTTTGGAGATGGTGTAATCTGGTGAGGAACAGACATGAAGGTTTCTGTGCTGCATCAAAATGGCCACAGTGTCCATGGGGAGGAACTCACTCTGTGCTCCCCAAACCCCCTCCATCAAACACAACACACAACTCAGAAGCACAGAGAGCCCACGGGAGATGGTGGGAGTGAGAGAACAAGGGGTGATGGCTTGAAAGTGGCAGAGGGGAGCTGGAGCTGAGATGTGAGGAAGAAATTGTTTGGTGTGAGGGTGGTGAGCCAGTGTCCCAGGTTGGCCAGAGAAGCTGTGGCTGCTCCTCCCTGGAAGTGTTTGTGGCCAGGCTGGATGAGGCTTTGAGCAACCTGGTCTAGTGGAAGGTGTCCCTGCTGCTGGCAGGGGGGTTGGGACTGGAGGAGCTTTAAGGTCCCTTCCAACCCAAACCAGTCTGGGATTCGATGACCCTCAGAAACAGCCACTGACTTCTCTGTCTTTCTACAGATCTGCTTCCCAGGTGTGGAAAAGAACTCAAACCAGAGTCACTCCGGTTTGAGCCGATAACCGAGTGAGAAAGTGATTCTTACCAAGATTGACCAGAGATTCGTTCTTCTCCCTCAGCACGTTTTCGTAGAGCTCCCTCTGCCATTCCTCCAGGTTCTCCCACTCTTGGGCAGAAAAGAAAACGGCTGGGGTCTGCAATGACAAAAGGGACACGTTCAGCACCAGGTCTGGAGGTTGGAGCTGAGGGACCTTCAGGCTGGAGCCCAGGGGACCCCGCAGGTTGGAGCTGAGGGACCCACAGGTTGGAGCTGAGGGACCCACAGGCTGGAGCCCGGGGGACCCCGCAGGTTGGAGCTGAGGGACCCACAGGTTGGAGCTGAGGGACCCACAGGCTGGAGCCCGGGGGACCCCGCAGGTTGGAGCTGAGGGACCCACAGGTTGGAGCTGAGGGACCCACAGGCTGGAGCCCGGGCGACCCCGCAGGCTGGAGCTGTCCTGGGCCATTCTGGTGGCATAAAGAGAAGAATGACTCAGATCTTCATTTGAAAGAACTTTGTTAATTGTCAGATAATTAATGTTAATTCCAAAATATTCATCCCGCACCAGAGAAGCTCGTGGGTGTGGGGGAAGAACCCACCATTTATGGTAAAAAAAACCACCCCAAGAACTTGTCCTTTTGCAGTGAGATACAGTTGAACCTCAACATCTATCTGAGCCACCACTTCCCTACTTGATGCTCATGTAGGTGACCACGTCAGTGATGATGTTCTCTCAATGTAGGGGAAGTTCTCTCAAGTTTGAGGCCTCCCTGAAGATTTGGCTGTTGGGCAAAGGCTGGGTGTGTTGGACCTTGGAGGAGCCAAACGTCCCCCCCTCGGAGGAGCCAAACGTCCCCCCTTCGAGGAGCAAAATGTCCCCCTCGGAGGGGCAAAATGTCCCCCAGCCACCACCCAGAGAGCCCTTAAAGAGTCATTTGTTACCTTGGAGACCTGGTCCCCGGAGGCAGCCGCAGGATCCAGAAGTTCCTGTTCTTCAGCAGGTTCTCCATGTTCTCCAGCCTCTTCTGGAGCTGCCGGTACTCCTGGATCAGGGTTCCCAGTACGGCCAGTTTGCTCTCCAGTTGATTCCCAAACTCCACCACCGTTTTCTCACAATCCAGGTATTTTTTCTCGGTGGTCACCGTCCGTCGTTCCAGGCTGACCAAGCGCTCAGTGTGAGCATCCAGGCTCCGCTCCACCGCCTGCACGGCCGCCCCCACCGTTTTCGTCCACAGAGAGATGTTGGTGCCGCCCGGTCCCGGTGCTGCCGGTGGTGGTGGAGTCACCGGGAAGGACACACCCGTTGGGTGTGGAGGTTCCATTCCCGGTTCTCTGCCCGGGGACAGACAGAGCTCGGGGCTGGG